GACGGTCACCGAGCGTTTAGTGTGTGAGCGGGCAGGCAGTACTGCATGTCGTGGAGCAGGTGTGGTGCGGTAAGAGCAAAGGGGGTGGACATGAGAGTGGGGGTTCAGGGCGGGACTGCAGGCAGCGCAACGGTGGCGGTCAGCCAGCGCTGGTGACAGGCGGCAGCAAAGGCGGCGAGGCGGCACGGTTTCTGGCGGAGGAAGCGGTGGGGAGGATGGGGCTCAGCAAACAGGTCAGGAAAGTTGAGGCGCAGCGGGGCGTAAAGGGGGCAGGTGAGCAGCATGTGGGGGGCATCTTCAATGCCGTCGTGGCAGTGGGGGCAGACTCGCTGCTCTCGGGGGCGCCGCGTCCAGCGGCCGGTCTCTTCCGCGCCCCAATGCGACCCGGTGCGCAGCTGCGCCAGCGCCTCGCGGTCCTGCCGACGCCGTACTGCATCCAGGTAGGTCTCGCGCTGCCCAAACATGGCGGGCGCCAGGTTGAGGGCGCCCACCACGTTGTGCACATAGTGCTCCAGCCGGCTGGCGCCGCCCTTCGCCAGCGCCTCCTGGAGCTGCGCCAACTGGCGGCGCTGCGCAGCTTCCCCCAGCTCGCCGAGGTCAACAGGTGCTGGCTGCTGCAGGTCCAGCTGCATGCCGACCGCTGCGAGACCGGCCGCCAGCTGGGCAGCCCAGGACTGCTGTGCCAGGGGGTGGGTGCCATCTGCGAGCTAAAGGTAAAGGTAAAGGTGGGGAAGAGCCTCCACAAGCTTAACTTCCCGGTTTTAACGTCTAGCTTTAGACCATTATTTGATCTGCCCGACGCGCCAAGTGCAGTACCCCCCACTAGTAGTGAATGGGTCCCGGGGAGGCCTGTGCCGAAGCCTTGGCGATTCTATTAGGCGTTCCCGAAGGAATTGGCTTGGATTGGCGCTGAGCCGGTCAGCTATGCCGCGTTTGTCCTCACAAAGTTTCGACATGAGAGGAATCGAACCTGTGCCCTCTCGGAGGGTTTAGACACTAGCTCCAGCGCCTTCAAAGAAGGCCTTTCTTAGCCGCGGCCAGCTGCACGCTGGACAACAACGCTTGCTGCAACAGGCTGCCGGGACGCTCCTCCAGCGTCTTGTTCCAGAGTTTGGCTGCCCGCCGCAGCCAGCGCTGCCACAGCGGGCGCTCGCCAGTCTCCGCAAGGAGGGCCGCATTGGGGGTGCTCTGCCGGACCCCCAGCAGGTGGCGTAGGTAGCTGAGTTGCAGCTTCTCGGCCGCGCTGCCGGCACTGCCACGATGGCAGCACGCCGCTTTGGCCGCCAGCTGCACGCCCCACACCTCAGCACCATGGGACAGCACCGAGTCCACCATGGTGCCGAAAAGAAGCAGCTGGACGGGCGCCGCCTCGATGCCCACCTCTGCGCAGCGGGTCCGGCAGTTGTGCATAGCCAGGCGCGCCAGCTGTGCCCGGGCTGGCGCTGCTGCCCCTGCCAGGCAGGTGCTGGAGTGAAAGGCGA